AGAGAAGGATAACAAGGAGGAGACGGGGGGCGGGGGAAAGGAATGGAAGGAGGGAGGGAGCGGGAGAGGGAGGAAAGAGGGAGGCGGGCCCATGCGAGGGGGGAGCATGTAGTAGACGTTGCTGTCGCCAATGAGTATTCTGATCAGCACCATCAGCACGGTGTGCACATACTGCAGGGACGGAAAGGGGTGAGCGCGCCCCCGCACACTCGACTCGCCAACCTCCCCCTCATGCACCGTACTCCGCCGCATCACTTCTCTGCCGCCCCATCATCATAAAAGCATCACCAGCATCACATCACCATCATCAGAATCCGCCGGCCCGTTGTGGGTCTCTAGGCGTGTGAGATTATCCCCCCCACAATTCGCCCCCAGGGACCCCAAACCTGCAATTTGACCCCCCCCTGGCCCGGCGCGACCCTCGACTGAACGCGTCATGGGGGAGCGGAGGTGTCCAAAACGGGCCAAGAAGGGCACCAAAACGCGCCCCAGGCGGTCCCAGAGGGCCACGAGTCGCAGAAAGATCGTTCATTGACGCCCACGATGGCCTCCAGACGGCCTCCAGAGCTACCGACACGCCCCAAAAGGCCCCCAAGATGCGTCCAAAGAGGGTCCCAGAATAAATTATCCTGGCGAAGGTCCCAACCATATGCAGTTGTGGGTACCGTGATTGTGTGAATATCTGATTCGGTGAAGCTCCCTATGGGGCCACGAAGCGCTGCACTGGGCGGGGGGGAACGCTGTACTGTGTGGGTGGTGCCGAATTGGGTTTCCAGGACGCATGCGGACGGTCCCACTGAGGGCTTCGGTGGAGCTCCCTGTGGGGCCACGAAGCGCTCTACTGCTGGGGGCTTCGGTGGAGCCCCCCTGTTGGGCCACGACACGCTGCACTGCACAGGAAAAAATGCCAAATTACATTTCCCGGACGCAATCGGACGGTGGCACTGGGGCCTTGGGTAGAGCCCGCTATGGGGCCACGAAACGCTGCACTGGGTGGGTGAAAATGCCAAATTGGGCTTCGGGGACGCATGCGACGGGGGCACTGGGGCGTTCGGTGGAGCTCCCTATGGGGCCACGAAACGCTGTACTGGGTGTGCGGGACGCATGCGGACGGTAGCGCTGGGACCTTCGGTGGGGCTCCTATGGGGCCACGAAACGCTGTACTGGGCATGGGGACGCATGCGGACGGTAGCACTGGGACCTTCGGTGGGGCTCCCTATGGGGCCACGAAACCTCTACTGGGTGGGTGAAACGCACGGAGGAGGGGGCCACGAAACGCCTGTACTGGGTGTGCGGGACGCATGCGGACGGTAGCTCTGGGACCTTCGGTGGAGCTCCCTATGGGGCCACGAAACGCTGTACTGGTGTGCGGGACGCATGCGGGACGCATTAGCACTGGGACCTTCGGTGGGGCTCCTTATGGGGCCACGAAACGCTCTACTGGGTGGGTGAAACGCACGGAGGAGGGGGAGGGCCACGAAACACTGTACTGGGTGCGCGGGACGCATGCGGACGGTAGCACTGGGGCCTTCGGTGGAGCTCCCTATGGGGCTGTACTGGGTGTGCGGGACGCATGCGGACGGTAGCACTGGGACCTTCGGTGGAACTCCCTATGGGGCCACGAAACGCTGTACTGGGTGTGCGGGACGCATGCGGACGGTAGCTCTGGGACCTTCGGTGGGGCTCCCTACGGGGCCACGAAACGCTGTACTGGGTGGGCGAAACGCAGGGAGGAGGGGGAGGAGGGCCACGAAACGCTGTACTGGGTGTGCGGGACGCATGCGGAAGGTAGCACGAGGAGGGGGCCGAGGAGGAGAGGAGAACGCGGGGCGACGTCTTTTCAAAACGAAGACCCAACACCACAGGATGGTTGGGAACAAAATCGTCCCATTCCCTTCGGGAAAAAAAAACATGTTTCGCACGTTCGCCTCTTCGGCTTTCAGAACGTCCAAGACGGGCAAAGAAACCCTCAATATCGCCCCGGACGGCCGAGGGGGCCCCCAAGAGGGGCCGAAGAGGGTCCCGAACGAGCCCACGAAGCCCCCAAGACAGCCCAAGAAGGCCCCCAGACGGCCCCAACAGAGTCCAGAGGGCACCTTTTCGAGCCTTCGGCCCCAAGACGGCCCAAGCCTGCCCCAAGAACACCACAAGAGGCCCTGAAGGACTCCCAAGAGAACCTCAAAGGCCTCCAAGAAACCCCCAAGAAGCCCCCAAGAGGCCCCACGATTTGGCCCCAGATGCCTCGAGGCGGCCGGATATGGCCTGCAGACAGGCCAGATGCCACCAAAAGGCTACAAGAGAGCACCAAGAGGTACGATAACAGCAACGAAGCAACAGCAACGATGTCGAGCGCCGTGTCATGATTCGGACAAGCCTCGTGAAATGCAGCCCTGGACGCGCAACAGTTTATATAGGGGTCGGCGGATCTGGCGAAAGCCTATTAAATATCCAGCATCACCATCATTATCGTCATTACCCAACTCATCATCACCATCATCCACCACCATCATCATCATCATCATCATCATCACCATCATCATCATCATCATCATCATCATCATCATCATCATCATCATCATCATCATCATCATCATCATCATCATCATCATCATCATCATCATCATCATCATCATCATCATCATCATCATCATCATCATCATCATCATCATCATCATCATCATCATCATCATCATCATCATCATCATCATCATCATCATCATCATCATCATCATCATCATCATCATCATCATCAACATCAGCATCATCATCATCATCACCATCACCATCACCATCACCATCACCATCATCATCATCATCAGCAGCATCATCATATCCTGCTACACCCCAGGCCACCCCGACATTTCTGGGGGGCGGGCGTCACGGGCGATTCCACCGAAGGGCGCAGCGGCAAGCGAGCAAGACGCACAGAGGAGAGAGGAGGAAGGAGGAGGACCCAACGCACCCACACAACACCGAGGAGGAAGCCCGAGCCCGAGAGGAGAACTGGCGACGAAGAACGACGCCGATAAGGCATAAACTTGAGCAACAAAACATTAGCAGGAGTATCTAGCGGAGATCGGATAGGCTAGGGTCACCATGCGTTTGAAGCCTGAAACCCCGCTTGCTTCGCAATTAAATCAGAGAAGTAGTTGCACAGCTTAACGGGATACGGCTCGGCGAGGCGAGCCCGAAGGATACCAGAAACGGGGTCGAGGCCAGAGAGGACTACGTCGGGCTATCCTGAAAAAAACAAAGGCCTTTTCTACAACTGCAGCGGGGCTTCACGGAGACCTCAGGGTGATGACGGGCACAGCAGGCCACGCGGGTGCGCTTCCTCCAGCGGGCCCCGAACGCGCACATGCCAATGTTGAACGACATGGCGTCCTGGGCCCCGAGGAGGGCCTGCAGCGCCGATGTAGACCAGACCCACGAGCACCCTGGGTTCTCGAGGTAGATTGGGATTCCGAGCGAGCGGCAGAGAGCGACGAGGCCAAGGACGAAACCTGAGCTGCTGGTTCCCGAGGTCGACGGCCGCCTGCGGCCTGGCACCCAGATCGGGCAGCCCCCACATGTGGCTCTTCGAGCGAATGGTGCACCAGGAAGACCCCGGCAGTCTGCGGCGGGCCTGGCCCCAGGAGCTGCACGGCAGGGCTGCCCAGACAGCTGAAGCCACACCGCCCCGCACCCATCCACGGAGGGTCTGACGGACGGTGGGATCGTCGAGATCGAACAAACGCTTACAAGCGAAATCCATCAGCAGCGCGGCGATGTCTCGGCGCCGCAGCGCCGACGACAGGCGGCCCGCCCCGGCGAACAGCTTCAGGACGACGGTTCGGGGGGAGCCCTTCTGACGTCCGAAACTGCCATGAAGTTCACGGAGGAGGTGCCGACAAATGGACGTGGTCGACGGGCCCCCCTTGATGGGTCCAGCGAGCTCTACCGCCCGCTCGAGGTCAGGCACAGCGCGGGCAGCGGCGCCCCGTCCATGAAGACGCGAGGCAGCGCGGCTTCCATGGCCTGGCCGACACCGATCACCTGCAAGCCCACGCGCTGGGGTTCGCTGATGATCCGAGTCTGCTTCGCGTAGCGCCTGAAGTTCTTGTCGGAGGCCCACCCTCCGCGCTGCTGGACGTCGAGAGCGGCCCGCCTCATCGCCAGGAGGTCGCCTGACGCCCCCCCATGACGCAGCCCGTAGACCAGGACAGGGAAGGCTCTCAGCCCTAGAGCGCAGGCCGCCCCCCCCATGCCCAGGCCAAGCGAGGCGGGAGGGAAGGACCAGAGCCGTGACCTCCCCGACGGAGCTCGCCGCTTCAGCCCGAGGAGAGCTGGGGCCAGGAACGCGAAGGTGTCGATCGCCACTGTGAAATCCCAGAGGCCCGCCTTCCCTGGTCGGCCCAGCTCGCCTGGATCGAGCAGCAGCGCGGCGAGCCCCGAGCCCCGGGCGCCCGCCGCGACGGGGGGGCAACCCTGCATGGCCGTCAGCAGGTCGCACTCGGACGGCCCCAGGTAGCAAGCGAAGCTCAGAATCATCGCGATCCTCTGCTTGACCTGGCCGCGGTGGAGCATCGCGCCTGCCAGCGCGGCCACCAGCAACCCAAGCATCGGCATGCGCACCCAGCGGGGGACGCACTTCCCCCGCCCCCCAGGGCTGCGGGGGGGCACGGCACAATGTCAGGTCTCCCCAGCGGCCGATCCCGGTCCCTTCCGCGCCAGTGTTAGGCCAGTGTTGGGGCGTTTTGGGGGCGTCTTTAGCTCTGTGCTCTGCGCGCGGAGCGGGAGGAACGGGAGGCGCAGGAGCGGGAGAGCGGCAGCGAAGACGGCAGTGAAGACAAGGAGCAGCCTTCGACAAGAAAACACAAGAACGCTTCACAAATGAAGCTCCACAGCGACGGGCCTGAAATCGACTTTAAAATAAAGTATGTATACATACAAACAACAAAACAAAGAACAACAACAACAACAAAACCAAAAAAATGTTGGTTCACGTTGGTAGCTTGTCAAGTGTAGAACGGCTTCTGCTGTATTTGAACACAAAAAACCCAGGGCGACTTAAGAAGACCCAAGCGTATGGTTGAAGTCCCAGGAATGGTGTTATGGCACGGTTCTGGACTGTCAGGACGCAACTGTGACTTTGATTCGCTGCGTTGAAGTCAAAGGATGGTTCTCTGGCACAGTTTAGGACCGTCAGGATGCAACAGTCGCGTGGAGTCGCGGCGCTCAAGTCCCAAGAATCGTGTGTCGGCACGATTTCGGATTCTCAAATGGTTGTCTTCAAATGTGGCAATTCCAACAATAACAAACACAACTGTAGGGACCTATGAAGAGAGAGCGTGTACAGAGAAAGAGAGAGAGTATCGCCAAAGCTTTTATGCGTCTTGGGCTTCCACTGGTCTTCCTCCTCCTCATCATCATAATCGGCATCATCATCAACACCACCATCACCACTACCACCACCATCAGCAGCAGCATCAAAACGAATCCCACCAGCCCTCTGGGCGTAGGTGGTGTAAAGATGTTACTTCTTTCCTCTTCCAAAAACCCTCTTCCCCTTCGGGGAGGGGTTCACCCCTCCACCTACCCCCTCCCCTGGACTTTTTGGGGGTTGGGTCGCGGGTGGTCGGAGGGCCCTTTTTCGGCCCCTGAGAGGGCCAATTTTTGACACCCCTCACGAGGATCGTGGCCCCGAGGGGGGACCTCGATCGGGAGCTCCCTCCTTTGATCGATAGCCTCGAAGATGGCCCCAAGAGGCGCTCCAGGGCTCCCAAGAGAGCCCCAAGAGAGCCCCAAGAGGGCTCCACGAGGGTCCCAAGAGGGCCCCAAGAGGCACCCGAGAGGCCCCCAAGAGGCCCCCGAGCGGCCTCAGAGAGCACAAGATGACCTCCAAGCTGGCTCAGATAGCCCAAGCTGGCTCAAGATGGCTCCCAAGATGCTACAAACGGCCCCAAGACCGCTCCAAGAGCGCCCAAGAGCGCTCTAAGAGAGCCCAAAGAAGCGGGTCGCCGGCTCCTGAGGGGGGAGCTGAGTTCGGGGGCCCCCATCCTGCAATCGATGGCCTCCAAGATGATCCCAAGAAGCCTTCCAGGGTTACCAAGAGGGTTCCAAGAGGGTTCCCCAAACTCCCAGACAGCACCAGCAGCAGCAGCAGCCTAGTCCTCGTCCTCCTCGTCCTCGTCCTCATCCCCATCCTTGTCCGCCTATTCCTCCTCGTCCTCATCCTCCTCCTGCTCCTCCTTTTCCCCTCGCCCCCACGCGGCCCCCAAGGATGGCCGGAGGAGGCCTTCCAAGGCCAGCCCCTTGCTCCCAGAGATCTCTCGGTTCACCCTGGTTGCTCGCTTTGTTTCAGTAGATGTGTCTCTTCGTCCCTTTTCCCGTCAGCTCTCATGGGCAGGGCTTCCGTCAGCTCTCATGGGCAGGGTTTCTGAATGGGCTGGTGGGGATACGCGAAGCGTGAATCATATCACCAGCATCACCGTACTCAACGTCATCCTCACACTCATGATACTCACCGACAGCAGAAGCATACTGTAAGCATGATCGGTACAATCCACGAAACGAGTCAACATCGACAACATCATCATCATCATCATCATCATCATCATCATCATCATCATCATCATCATCATCATCATCAGCATCATCAGCATCATCATCATCATCATTATCAGCATCAGCATCAGCATCATCATCATCATCAGCATCATCATCAGCAGCAGCATCATCATTATCATTATCATCATCACCATCATCATCACCATCATCAGCAGCAGCATCATCCTCAGCATCACCATTATCATCCTCATCATCCTCTTCATCATCATCATCACCTCCACCGTAATCATCAGAATCATCAGCAGCACCATCATATTCATAGTCGTCATCATCATCATCCGCATCATCATAATCTGCATCATCAGCAGCATCATCATCCATCATCACCATCACCATCACCATCGTCATCGGCATCAGCATCATCGTCATCCGTCACCATCATCATCAGCAGCAGCATAACCATAATCATCATATGTTTCATCATCGTCGTCATCAACAAAGAACAACAGCATCGTCGGCATCATCAGCAGCAGCATCATCACCACCATTATCATCATCATAATCTGCATCATCAGCATCGTCAGCATCATCACAATCACCATCGTCATCATCATTACCACCACCACCACCACCATCATCATCATCAGCAGCATCGTCATCACCATCATCAGCAAAGCAATTTCATCATCATCGTCATCATCGTCATCATAATTATCACATCATCGTCGTCATCAGCGTCGTCATCATCACCATCATCATCGTCATCCAAATCATTATTGCCACCATCATCACAATCATCGATCATCACCATCATCAGCAGCAGCACCATCATCAGCAGCATCACCATCATCATCACAAGCAGCCGTATCATCAACAACATCATCGTCATCGCCAACATCATCACCACCGCCACCACCATCATTATCATCATCAGCATCATCATCCACGGCATCTCATCATCAGCAGCATCAGCATCAGCAGCAGCAACATCATCACCACCACAACACAAGTATCATCATCACCACCACCACCACCATCATCAGAATCAGCATCATCATCAGCATCATCATCATCAGATCATCATTACCATCGTCAGCATCATAATCAGCATCATCAGCATCATCAGCATCACCATCATCATCAGCATCACCATCATCATCAGCATCATCAGCATCATCATCAGCATCATCATCTCCATCCATCCATGCATCTATCCATCCATCCGTCCCCGTCCGTCGTCAACATCCAATGTCATGAAACACTAACGTCGTGAAAGGTCGCGGCCTGGGGGCCAACGGCTGGAAGGTCTCGACCCCGTCCCCACAACTGGGCGTTTGAGCAAAATCAATCCGTGAGGGTCACTGGGCCAGAGCCGGCGCAAAAAAAAGCTCGCATTGTTTCCTCCCTGGCGCCCGGGTGTAAAGGCTCGTCTCCTTGCCTCCCCAATCCTCCTTCCGTGCATCTACTCCACCCCTCCCACCCTCATCCCCTTCGTCCCCCTCCTACCCCCTCCAACCCCTCCCTATCCACCTCCTCCCACTCAACCCTCATCCCTATCGTCCTCCATCCTCATTCCCATCGTCCCACTCCTACCCCCTCCTTCCGTTCGTTTACTCCACCCCCCCTACCCCCTCCCCGTCCCCATCGTCCCCCTCCTCGCCGTGCTCCCTCTCACGAGCTACTGGGGGAGGGGGGGCGCCTTGCAGCTGCAGTTACCTGTTATGTCGAGGATCGAGATCCCGCAGCCTGGTGCCACGCCGCGGAAGGGAGGCGCGGGAGGAAGAATGGCGTGCCTCCCCCCTTCCTGCTGCGCCTCCCCCTCCTCCTCCTATTCCTTCCTCTTCCTCCACCTCCTCCTCCGCCTCCTCCTCCTCCTCCTCGTCCTCCTCCTCCTCTCCCCCCTTGGCGCGCTGCAGCAACGGCCTCTCGACCCGTGCGAGGCGGCCCGATGAGACGCGGTTTCAACTCCGACGCCGCCAGCGTGCCGGCCTGTCCAGGGCCACGCGGGAGGAAGAGGAGATGCGCAGATCGCGCCTCTGTCGTCGTGGGAGGCTCGGAGTTCGAGGGCGCTCCCTGCTCCTCGCACGGCGGTGGGGTCCAGCTCGGAGAGCTGGAGCCTGTGGAGGCGTCGCCTCCGCCCGAGGTCGGGCGCCCGCGCGCGCGCATGCGCGCGCCTGCTGACGCGACGGCAGCGCCCCGAGAGCGTGCCGAAGAGAGGGAGGGGGCATGCAGCAGCAGCAGCGCCCTGGCATCCAGGCGTCGAGAGAGAGGCCCGGCCAGCGCTTCCGCCCACGGCTCGGCTCGAGCGCCCGGGGGCCCGGACGGATCGGCCCGGCCGGACAGGTCGAAGATGAGGATGCCGTCGAGGTGCGGTGGGACCAGTGCGACCAGAGCCACAGGCCGACCTCAAGCTGAAGGAGCAGCCCCAGAACCACTGGGAGGCGAGCAGCCCGGCAATGCTCCACGCGCCTCAGCCAGACGCGAGTGGAGAGGGGGTGGGCACCAGGGCCGCGACCCCCGTGAGGAGGACGCCTTCCAGCTGCGCAAGGACAACTGGAAGGAGAAACTTTCAGCAGCGAATTCGCCCAGTCTCGTGATCGACGACCACGTTGGACGTCGGGTCATCCACAGAAAGAGCAGGAGGAGGAGGCGGAGGAGGAGGAGGAGCAGGGACACAGCGGAGCATCCGAGGCAGAGGGATAACGAAGGGCTCCCAGGCAAAACGCAGTGCTCGCCCGCGCACCCGCACCGCCCTGTGAAGATTCTGCCCGTGGTCGGATGATAGCTGGCACAGTCCACGGAGTGCGCCCCGATTTGTGGGCAGGCGGCAGGGTCCCACCGGTGGTGCCCCGCTGGTGTGGTCCGACCATTAGGGCCTCACCCACATGTGGCGTCCACCATATTGTTGGAGGCCTGGAAATTGGCACAAACACCAGCACAGGAGGTTGCCTCCACATGGGAAAGATGATCCTAGATTTCGGTGTTGGTTGTAATATTTCGGTTACCTTGGAAGCCAGAATATTACCACCATCACCGAGATCGCAATCTCCTTCCCTCGGTGGAGGAACACCGCCGATATCGGTGTTGGTGTCAACCTCTAGGCCTGCGATATTGCGCATCGCAAAAAGCTCCCCGTTCGTTGCACTCTATAGGCCCGTAGGTTGCATAATGCCAACACTTGGGGTCTGCGCGCTGGTATCACTCCGTTGGCACGGCAGTCAACATCAATGATGCATCACCAGAGTGGCCGCATCCCATGCTGCACAAAATGTGGTTACAGACATCATCGATGGATCTAGATGTTGGTCCTGCAGTCCCGCGCCTCAAATGACAGACTGGAACGCACTGAGGCGTCCATTGAATGACGTGTCGATGGCACTGCTTTTCGCCAGCAGCGCTCAGTTTCCAGACGAATCTACATTATCGCTGCAGTACTACAGACACACAAGATGTGATTTGTCGTATTGCCATACTCCTGATTCGTGAGCTGCACGCTGTCGCACCCATCGCCATCGGTGTGATGATGCGTGGCCTTTTGCCAGTATTGACCTCGGCAGGTGATATGTTGATTAGATGTTCGCTGTCGTCGAAACATCGCCTCGAGCTGCGCACAAGCATGCGAAGCATATGCTGTTGAGGTTGTCGGAATCGGTTTTCCTGTTCGGCCACAGTTGTCCAGGGAGCAGGCTGTCTCGTAATGGTCGGTGGCCGTTGCGCATAGTCTTTGTGACGGTCAGAGTATGGGTACGCCTTAGCAGCTTCGATGGTCGAGGCAAGCAGATGTATGTGTGGGATGAATGGACGAACCAGCGAGTGGCAGAATGCCTCTACAAAGTGCTGGTGGACTGGCCGTTCGGGTGCTGTTGGAGATTGAACCCACAATCATCGAACGCCCAACCCTTCCAACAGGCTTCAATGGATGCCCGATGCCGTCGCAAACGCACGACTGCTGTGTATGGTTCGCCACCGTGCGCGCTGATCGGCGGTGGACAAACCTCCCTTTAGTAAACCTCCCTTTAGTGAAAACGGCCTGGGACCGAAACCGACGGACCTGGACCCGCAAAAATGACGGCCGCGACGCCCTCTCGCGAACCGAAAACGGCCAATTCCTTAATCGACGTGTCAGGGTAGGAGGTCTGTCCACCCCCGAGCTGAGGGGACTCGGGACAACCAACTGTGCTTGGCCGGCGGCCACGGAGGCACTCCGGAGCAGCGGCGGCACGGGCCAACAAGCTGCCAGCGGACTGCGACCCCTGCAGGCGGAGGAACGGCGAGGAGGAGGCCCTCAAATGCGCCCGCGGGGAGGCAGGGGAGCGGGGGGGACCCCTGCGCCCGCCCAGTAGTTTCCAGCACTCCAGGAAAATTCCAAGAAGCCAAGAATCTCTCAACTGAGGCTGGAGAGCGCGACAGGGCGGGGCGAAGCAGCGCGACCAGGACGGGGCGATCCAGGCGCCCAAGGACCCTCGGCGAGGCGCGCAGCGGCATGGGGGCTTTGCCCCTGGACACCCCGGGCGCTGCTCCAAGCTGGACACCTCTCTAGGCGAGGCCCTCAGCGCCATCATCCGCCGCGAGCCCGATTGGGCCCCAGAAGTTCGGCGGGCCCCGCGCGCCCAGCCACCTCTCGACCCTGCGCGGCGGAGAACCTGCGTCGAGCGACCCGCGGGTGATCTCAGCCTCAAGCGTCTTCTGCTTCTCCCCATCGTTTCTGGACGCTGGCACTGGGGGGGCCGGGGTCGCCCGCCGCGACGACGTAGCAGGCGGGCTGGCCCTGACTGAACATGCTGCCGTGTGCTTGGGAAAGCCATGATCGATCTTGCTTTGCCCTCAATCACCGCTTGTGCTCCCTGGCACAGCTGAGTCTTAGGCTATCCAATGCTTCATATGTTGTGTCGATTCTGTGAAGCTTTCATCCGACCCAGGCTCAGAAGCACGTCTACTTCCCTGAGAACTCATACGAAGATCTTGGATCAAGACTCTGGCCACGCCCCCACAGGAGGAGCAGGAGCTGGAGGAATGCCATCACATTGCAGAAGGGTCGGCCAGTGGGCTTATACCAGGCCTCATGGAGGAGGCTCCTCGACCCACCCCTCCCCCTTCGCCGCCTCCAGTACTGCTTCAGCGCCGTCTTGATAGGATTGCGGCCAATCGGGCCGAGGCGCTCAAGAGAACAAGGGACAAGCAGACGGAGGCGAAACGCCTTCCCACAATTGCACTCAACGTTTTCGGCAGTACAGCGCAGCAGCCATCGAGTCGGCAAACCGAGTTAGTCCGAGATGATCTTCACAGATGGTTCACAGCTGCCACTACCTGACTTCTCCTCTCATGTGTTATTGATACTGTCATTGTTACGTCGTTGCTGGCTCCCTCCCTCTCCCCCATGGTCCACCCTGCCAGTCTTTCAACCTGGACACTCACGTAATTTAGCGGGGTGTTATAGGGTCAGGTTAGTGCGGGGGAGGCATAGAGAGAGTTTGCGTGCGGCGCGGCCCGCCCGTGCTATGGTGATGTGCCCGCCACACACACACACACACACACACACACACTTCGGATACACCGGGCAGGCGCGCTCAGGGTACAGGGGCGCCTTGCTGGACTCGAGGGGGAGGTCCGCTTCCAGGAATGGGCTTTAGGTGGTGGTTCTCGTCTTCTGCTTCGGCTTGTCGTGCCGACGGCCTTCAATAGGCCCTATTTGTTTGGACTGGGTGAGCTTCACCTGTGCTCCCTGATCCGTTTCGCCCGCCTTGGCGGGCACGTGGCCTGCAGTTGCTCGAATACTGCTGCACGCCCCCGGCTGTGGCTCCCTGGTGGGGCCCTCGCGAGGACTTCCGACCCAATCCGATCCGATCCTCCTCCTGCTCTTCCTCCTCCTCATTTCCTTTTCATGATAGATAACCCCTCCCTGTCGCACCCCGAAGCTGGTCGAAAGGGCGGGCCGGGCGTTTCGCATGAGA